GACTTTTTTGTCCAATCCTGTCAGTCACATCACTCTTAGGCATGCTCTGGGCTGGTTGGGTAGAATTTATGAAATTACAGCATCAGGGAGATTTTTCCTTGGTTAAAAAGGTTTGCATTCCCAGGTAGGGAATTTGAGATGAGGGATTAAAAGAATCTTGCAGTAAAAACAGTTGATATTCTTCATTACAGAGCGAATGGTGTCATCCACACACAGAGAGGTTCCATCCCCTCTACTTACCACTAGGGCTTAGTCTCCAAAGCAGAGCCCGCCATTGCCTTTCTGAGTTTGTCTACATTCTCGTGGGACCTGAAGCTTAGCTCTTTCTAAATAAAAATATGAGATAAAAAGATAGCTCTTCTGCAAATCTCCTTTTATTCCAGAATACAAAACACTGATTTCAAAATGGGGGAGAGGAAGGAAGAGAAGGTGAATGGACTGCTGACTGAGAAGGCCCAGCCAGGGGAGGAGAGCCCCACCCCCTGGAAAAGCAGATGTCACTCTTCAACCTTCCCAGGACAGGCCCAGCACATATGGCACCTCTTGTTCCTACTACACTCTCCAAAGAATGAATTGTTCACCCCAGTTTAGGGAGGAGGAAACATTAGGTCAGGTCAGTTAAGTAGCTTGCACTGAGTCTGCCCAGCTGCTTCAAGGCAGGAAGCTCTAGCAATCAGTGCTTTTAATATGCTTTGATTTTATCTATTTTTATGAATTTTGGTACTTGGGATTGAACCTGGGGTGCTTTACCACAGAGCTACATCCATGGCCCTTTTTATGTTTTATTTTGAGACAGGGTCTTGCTAAATTGCTGAGGGTCTCACTAAATTGCTGAGGCTGGCTTCAAACTTAAAATCCTCCTGCCTCAGCTTCCGAATTTGCTGGGATGACAGGTGAATGCCAACATGCTTGGCCTGATTTTATTTTATTATTTTTTGGAATTTAGGCTTGTTTATTAGGACTGATTATAACTACTGAAGCATTATTATGGAGGTGATATGCACCCAGAGGAATGCATTGTGGGAATCCCTGACTTTTTAAAAGATTTTAAGTCAGTATGGGAAACAAAATAATATGAAACAAGTATGACACAAATGTAGAAATAGTGCCATAGGCATTTAAAAACTGAATCACCCCCAAAGAATTCAATTAGCCATTTCAAAGAGAACTCCAGTGAAGTTTCAATGGTCACATACCTTTGCATTTAGATTGCAGTCATCTCTGCTTTTGTCTTGGTAACCCAGATATATGAGAGTTACGAGCTTTTTATTGTATCTTGTTTAATGCCTCCTGCATTCCTTTAATATAAATATCCTGCTTTGATTTTAAACAAACAAATAATCTTTAAGGTCCTTTCTTCAAAGCAGTCTTACTTGGGTTCCAGAAAGCAGGAGTGCCTGAATGTACCTGCTTAATTCCACCCTTGTCCTACTCCTTCCCAGGACCCTGTATATACTCCTGGACTTGGCAGGCAAGCCCTAGGAATCTGCAGAGCATGAATTAACTGCATTCTTCCCTCTTCCCTTTCAAGAACATTAACTGACTATTACCCAGTAAGGATACAATATCTGAATCTTTTTTTCTTCTCTAGGTAGATAGAGCACAGCTTCTGGTGACCTGGGCTTTTGGTCTTGTCCATGATGTTGGACAAATAAATTACTTAGCAGCTTTGGTTTTGGGTCTTTAAAATGGGGCTAAGAGCTATTTTGGTGGTTAAATAAGCACTAAAAACAAAAACCCTCAGCCTGGTGCCTTTCAAGAAATGATTAGTTTAATGCTGTTATCAGGGATGCTTCACCCACTACTCCAGATTTTCATGACAAGAGATGATCTCTAAATTATCTCCTGGCCTCTTTCACTACTTGTTTAGAAAATTAGGGAAGAATACACTTTTTCCTTCTCTCCTTGGGAAGGAACTTGCCTTGACTTACCAGGTGAAGCACACCTGAGGGTTCATTTTGCTAGTCTGCAGGTTCCCAGGCTTGCTCTCTGTAATCACTAATCAAGAGGCTGTTTTAGTTCTCTGGCTTCTGGCTCCTGAATTTCTGTTTGTTTAGAGGCTGAGCAAGGAAGAGGTATGTGATGTGTTCAGCTTCCCTAATTTTCCTTAATTAGTGTTTGCCATCCTCTTCAGTTCTCTTATTAGAGTCATAGAATTTTAGAGTGGAAGGGATTTTACAAATGACCTGAATTTATTTTGCCATCCTGAGCCCCCCTGCCTAGTGACCATTCAGCACACTTGAGGTTATTAGGTGCAAGCTCACTCAGAGGTAGCCCATTGTGTCAGGGATGCCTTAGATTGCAGTTCCCATAGGGGTTTCATTCAGCAGGGTTGGGTTTCAGTCCCGCCTGCACTTGGTGTGAAACCTTCAGATGTGGTTTTCTTTGGGAGGGATGACTGGCCCGAAGGCTGCCCCCTTTCAGATAGTTCATTTTAGAAAATTCATTATCCACCTGGACACTGTAGCTCATGCCTGTAGTCCCAGGTACTTGGAAGCTTGAGGAGGAGGATTGCAAGTTCAAGGCCAGCCTCAGAAATTCAGAGGGCTTCTGTCTCAGTATAAACAATGATAAAGGCTGGGGATGGAACTCAGTGGTAGAACACCACTGGGGTTCTATTCCCAGTGAAGAAAGTAAAAATTTATTGTAAATAGTCAGAATTGGCAGAGGAATCAAGGGATACCTTTGACATCTCAAGTAATTTGCCACCACCTTCTGTATCTGCTGCTTCCTGAGCGAATTCCAGCTTGTGTCTTTTCTTGATGCAGGAGAGCATCCTCAAGGTCCTCTGTGCACCTCCCGGCCTCAGGGCTTCTTGTGGGGGATGCAGCCAGGTTGGGTCCTGGCAGGCCACCTCCTGGAGTTGAGCATGGGGAGGACTCTGGTGGAAGGACATGAAACTGCCAGTGTAATTCTGTTTTGGTGCCGAAGATGCAGAGTCCTGGCTTCAACATGCTCACCTCGATTTACTTGCCAAGTGCAGGCAGACTGACTTGGGATCTGCTCCACATGCAGAAGGAACCAGCAAATGTTAACAAACGGGGCTTCTAAACTTTAAGAAATTAACAGCTTTATTGAGATATACTTAATGTACCAAATTGCACTTTTTTTTCTTTTTTAAAATTTGTTTTAATTAGTTATACATGACTGTAGAATGCTCTATGATACATCATGCATGAATGGAGTATAATTTCTCATTTTTCTGGTTGTTTATGATGTAGAACCCCACCATTTGTGTAGTCATATATGTACATAGGGTAATAATGTCTGATTCATTCTACTGTTCTTCCTATCCTCAGACCCCCCTCTTCCATTCACTCCCCTCTACCTAATCTAAGGTAACTCTATTCTTCCCTAGCTCTTCTGCCCTTATTGTGAGTTAGCATGTGCACATCAGAGAAAACACTGGGCCTTTGTTTTGGGGGGATTGGCTTATATTGTTTAGCATGATAGTCTCCAGTTCCATCCATTTACCTGCAAATGCCATAATTTCATTTTTCTTTAAGGCTGAGTAATATTCCATTGTGTGTGTGTGTGTGTGTGTGTGTGTGTGTGTGTGTGTATCTCACATTGTCTTTATCCATTCATCTGTTGAAGGGTATCTAGGTTTGTTCCATAGCTTAGTTATTGTGAATTGACTGGCTGTAAATATTGATGTGGCTGTGTCATTGTAATATACTGATTTTAAGTCCTTTGGGTATAAACCGAGGAGTGAGATAACTGGGTCAAATGGCACTTTTTAAAGTTGTTTAATTTGGTAGTTTTTAGTATATTCATGGAGTTGTACAGCTATCACTACAATTAATAGTAGAACATTTTCATCACCCTGGAAAGAAACTCTATACCCATTAGCAGTGACCCTCTGAGATTCCTCTCCCCTATTCCCTGGCATCTATAATCTGCTTCCTGTTTCTATAGATTTGCCTGTTCTGGACATTTTCTATAAATGAAATCATATGAAATGTGTCCTTTTGTGTCTGGCTTCTTACGTTTGTTGTTTTCAAGGTTCATCCATGTTATAGCCTATATCAATACTTCATTTCTCTTCATGACCTAATAATTTCCCATTGACTCAATAGACCACTTTTATTTATCTGTTCACCAGTTGATGGACATGTGGTTTGTTTCCACATATGGCCTAGTGTGAATAGTGTTTCTATGAACATTAGTATACAAGTTTTTGTGTGGATATGTGTTTTCAGAATTTTCAAATATAGATATAGGAGTAGAATTGCTAGGTCATATTCCCTGAAGAAACTTTAAAATTATTTCTTTTTTGTTTGCTGTTCTTGGGTCCCTTATTCCTGTTCTTTAGGTCACTTACCCTGTGCTGAACATTATCTGTGACTTGATATAAAGTCAACACATCTGGAACCCTGGTTAAAATTCTTTTTAAAATTAATTAAAAATTATTGAAGTGAGAATAAAGTGAATAAAAAAATGCTTATTATTGCCGGGCATGGTGACACATGCTTATAATCCCAGTGGCTCAGGAGGCTGAGGCACAAAGATCAAAAAGTTCAAAGCCAGTCTCAGCAACTTAGCAAGGTCCTAAAGTAACTTAGTGAGACCCTATTCCAAAATAAAAAAAAAACAAAAAAGGGCTTGTGATGTGGCTCAGTTGTTAAGCATCCCTAGGTTCAATCCCAGTACACTATGCTTGTCTCCCCCTCAAAAAATAAAAAAATAAATAATTACACTCAATTTATTATCTAGTGTGGATACTAGGCTATATTTGGCTTTACTTCTCCTCCTCCTCCTCCTCCTCCTCCTCATCCTCCTCCTCCTTCTCCTCCTTCTTCTTCTATATTTTAGTTTTTGATGGACCTTTATTTTACTCAGTTATATGTGGCACTGATAATCGAAGCCAGTGCCTCACACATGCTAGGCAAGCGCTCTACCACTGAGCCACAACCTTAGACCTGGCTTTGTTTCTTCTTCACTGAGCTTCTATTTGAACATTGACCAAGGCTGTCTTTTTTTTTTTTTTTCTTTTCCAGAATCGCAATGAAATAAAGAATGGCACTATCCTTCGGTTAACTACATCTCCAGTAAGTTGATCTTAGTTCAATTCTTCCTAATATACTCTTTACCTCAGGTTGTTTTTGATTTGGGGGGACTGATTTTGGAGGGTGACTTTAGTGCATAACAAAAAGGCTCTGGAAAGTCTTCACATGCAGATTCTGCATTGGCAGGGATGCCCCCTCCATATTTCCCATTGTAGAAGAGGAAGATTTCCTTCCAGGGTAAGAGAAAGTAAATTGATTGTGAAGCCTTGAAGTTTGAGCTTCCGGGTCATTTAACACTTCTTATATGATGGATGGGATAACTGAGCTGTCATGATTGGTTTCACCCATTTTCTCACAAGCAAAACAAAACCAAAGCTTGTTAATTCCCTTCTGAGTCAGAGGGTGTGTGTGTGTGTGTGTGTGTGTGTGTGTGTGAGAGAGAGAGAGAGAGAGAGAGAGAGAGAGAGAGGTGGAGATATTGAGTGAAAAGAGAATTTAAACATTTCTCAGCTTTGGTCAGTTCTTATGACAATTCATAAAAATGCAGTTCAAGCCACTTATGCTGTGCCATTGACCATTGATTCTATATAGAACACTTGAAAGTCTCTGAATAAAAGATGCTGAACAAGATGCTGCAGTGTATTTAGATGATGGTAGCTGATTGTGTTGCTTATCTTGATCTTTCTGACTTCCTGGGAGAGACTCTGGATAGTAACATCAGCATATTTAAACTACATTATTTCACAGTGTTTTTTATTGCTTTACTAAAAAAAAAAAAAAAAAATCTACACAGAAACACACCAAGTGTTACTATTTTCACACTGTGTATGTGATGAAAACTGTGTCTGACTATAGTTTTCAGTTTCCACTGAAGCCATGTGGTCGGCTAAAAATAAATTTAAAAATTGGGAAAAGCATCTGGCTAGAATTAGACTGTGGGTACTGGAACTACCACAAATTCTTCTTGTTGAAAATTACATTAGAGAGGCTTAAAAACTCTTAAACATTTTACCCCATAACATCCTGAATTCTTAGCACAGCAATGAGCTCAATGGACTGCATGGCTGGAGCTGGCAGAGCCACCTTGTGATGCCTCCTGCCAATTAATGGAGATTATAGTTTGTCTATTTTTCTAGTGGCTACATAATGAGACCTGAGCCATTTTTGTTCAATTTCATGCTGGCATTCTTGATTCGGCACAAATTAATGTTACCTTGACCTTTAAAGATATGATTATTTTATTTGGTTTTTGTAGTTCCTGTATATCCTAGGTTAATCATCTGCTTGCCAAGCAGCAGGAGTATACCTTGTCTTTTATTTCACCTTAGTATCAGAAAGACTCAGCTTTTCATGTAGGCCTTCTCTAAGCCAAAGAAGGAGTCAGTTCTCTTTTATTGTCATGAGTACATGAACAAAATCCCCACAATCTAAGTCACTCTTGTAAGGAAGTTTAGGTATTGGGTGAAGTCTTCAGCATCCCTAAAGTGAACATTTTAAGATCATGACATGACTTGTCATCAGGGACACAGTGGAATTTGTGATCTTCAGAGGATGATCCTCAGTCTCCCCTCAATACATGGACCGAGGTGAAAGTCAGTGTGCAAGGTACTGTTTTACAGAATGATGTCACAGGAGCATGGGCAGCAAGGCTCCAAGCCTTGGTTCTTATGTCCTAACAAAAGAAAATTTAAGGTCAGACATAAAAAGCCAAGGAAGAGAATTTTCATCATAAGTGACATCAAAGAACGCTCTCAGGAGAGAAAGAGGGTGGGCTGTCTCTGAGCAGACAAAGACAAAGGAAAGTTAATGCCACTTTTAAATTTATCACTGTTTTATGTTTGCTGTGAGAACTGGGGTCTATCTTCTGCAGTCTTTACTAATCTGATGTTTTAGTCCTCTGTCACATTGGTTGGGGGATTTTTTTCTTCTTTTATTTTATTTATTTTTAGTTATACATGACAGTAGAATGTATTTTGACATTTAATACATGCATGGAGTATAACTTCTCATTCTTGTGGTTGTACATGATGCGCAGTAACACTAGTCATATATGCATATATGAGCATAGGAAAGTTATGTCTGATTCATTCTACTATCTTTGGTATTATCATCCCCAGGTGGGGGAATTTTTGACCCTAGATGGTCCTTTCTGGAATCATCATGGTGACCATCCCATGGTGATGATGGGTGTTTTCTATACCTGAATTCTATGTTAATGCAGGTGCTGGGGCCAGTGACCCAATAAACTTTGTCCTTGTTCAGCACTACTAATCTTCCTTCTGAAATACATTAAGAAACTTACAGCCATAAATCTTAAGTATACAGTGATTCCAGTAGATCTTTCCTCCTTGATGTATTTCTTCATTGATTGTGTTTGTTTCCACCTGTTTATCCTTAGGGTTAGTACACCTGTGGTTTTTTTCTACAGGTTACTCAATTATTCATTAAAGGCAATTCAAAGAAACCCATGACCCTGCTTTGTCATTGGTTTTGTGTTCCACTGCTGATTATTAAGTGCTACCTAACAATGGGAGTCTACTTATATAAGACTGGTTTGCATTTCCTAGGGCAGTGCCCCAAACCTGCATCAGTGGTGGAACTTTAAAAATGCTCATATCTAGGGGCTGGGGGTTGTGGTTCAGTGGTAGAGCTCTCATCTAGTACATGGGAGGCACTGGGTTCAATCCTCAGCACCACATAAAAATAAATAAAATAAAGGCATTTTATCCAACTACAACTAATATATATATTAGGACTAGATATGAGCATTTTAAAAAATAATATATATATTATTTTTTTAAATGCTCATATCTGGCCCTTGACAGGGAGGCTGTGTTAGGAGGTCTAAGAATGGGGCCCAGAATTCTGCACTTAGACCGGTTGCCTTGTGGTGTGGCTGTGGTCACAGAGTCTAGAACTGAGAATTACTCTATAGAAAGTTACTTGGATTCTGTAAACTTCATTTATTACTAGTAGATTTTTAAATTATTTAGTGTATAATTGCATGAAAAATATAAGTCACAAATGCTCTTTCACTTTTTACACGCACAATAAGAATCTACTTTTAAAAACCGACTCCATCAAATTTGTTAGGCAGTGTTAGAGTGTCATAAGGAAACCAGTAGATGTGCATTATACTAGTTTTTAAAGTCCCTACATCTGCCACAGTTGAACTCTTCCTGCACCTAGATAAGAACACACACACACACACACACACACACACACACCACACACATTCACACCAACACATTCACACAGATGTACAAGCTCCATTCTTTGGCAAAGTGTAGCTGTGCTATTTTACGTCGACTTTGAAAAAGTGGTCTGTTTTTTTTTTTTGGTCACTCTATCACAGAACAGTTTTTTCTTAAGGAAGTAGAGTGTTAATACAAAAAGATCTAAATGAATGACTTGTACTATTTTTCTCGTGAAAGCCCTTGCACTTGGCTGGTGATCCTTTGCTGCACTGGCCATCCTCTCAAGTGACCATCCTAAGCACGTATCTTTCTGGCATCCTATCTTTATCCGTCTCCACAGTATCATAAAACTATAGATAGGACCACATCTGTGGAATGTGTGCATATGTGTGTACGCTTCAAGCAGTTCAGAGCTGGGGAGCTTTGAACTGGGCAGCTGAGCCATGTCTCTGTCTCCTTCGCTGCTGTGATTACAACTATGGAAGTCAAATCTGAGACATATTTTTAAACAGGTTTTGGTAGCTGTTTGTATTACCAGAGCGTTGTTTTCACTTTCTAATTTTTTTTTTGGGGGGGGGGGGGGTACCAGGGATTGAACTCAGGGACACTCAAACACTGAGCCACATCCCCAGCCCTTTTTTGTATTTTATTTAGAGACAGGATCTCACTGAGTTGCTTAGTGCCTCGCCATTGCTGAGGCTGGCTTTGAACTCACTATCCTCTTGCCTCAGCCTCCTCCGTAGCGGCTAGAATTACAGGCGTGCACCACTGTGCCCTGCTGAAATTTTTGTTTTAAAAAGTCCTCACAATGCATCTATTTTTTGGGCTTAGAGTGGAGAGAACCTTTCCAAATAGGGCATGAAGCCCAGAAGTCATAAAGAAAAAGATCAATAAATTTGACTACCAAAAAACCTTAAAAAAAAAAAAACAACAACACCCTCTCAAACCTTTATGATTGGAATGAATTCCAGACACAAAGTAAAAAAAAAAAAAAAAAAATGCATGATAGAGGGCTAATGCCTTTATTTACTGGATCCTTTATGAATGAATAAGGAAATTGCCCCCAAAGACAGGTGATAAATATACCTGTAAAAGAGAAAAGCTCAACCCCTGTCTTAAAAGAGATGGAAATCTATACTGCTAGGCAATCAAGGCGTGAGGAAAAAAGCTGCTGTGGAGTCAGGGTATAAATGCCAATTTAGACAGCCTATTTCAGTATTCCAAACTAAGATTTTCTGAAGAGCCTCAGAAGTATATGAACTGAATTCTTCTTGCCCATTATTCCTTGTCTTGGCCCCTGTGGACATAGAACCAGCTGCTCATTAAGTAACTTTCTGTTGCCTTCTCAGCTCGAAGCCTAATCCTTCCTGTCTGCTCCCTCATGTTTGGGGAACCAGTAAGAGAATTATCTAGGTCAGAGTGCCTGTCACAGGGATTTTTGGGGCTAGTTCCTCCGTTAATAAGAAAAACGATATTATCTCAGTCACCCAGAGGATTCAGGTTCTCAGAGATTCTTAACAATAAGACCATTAGCAGTTTATGACTTTTCCATTTTTTTTCGACTGGTTTGAGAAACTAAAAAAGGCTATAAAATGGCTTAGATTCTTTTTCTTGCCCTTGCTCTAGGAAGCCTAACTCAGGGAGAAGAAGCCGGTGAAGGCTGCTGCCCAAGAACAGATTGTAGGGATAGCAAAGGGACATGTTGGGAGTTTCTGATGATGGTCCAGGCAGATGGCGGGGGCCTCCTGTCTTGTCAGGATGTGGAGGGTTAGAAGGGGTGTTTTAGAGAGTGAGACAGCAGGGCATCATGATATGGGCCTCGAGGAAATATTCCAGGATACTCCT